TCAGCATATCGCCCCCACAGTCTNCCCTGAGCCGGTGAGATTTGAACAGCCGAACTGCAGAACTGCAGTCAGCTGAAGTAGCCTGCAGTGCTGCATTTAACCACTGCGCCACCTCGGCTCTATGAAGGGGAAAGAGAGGATTCTGTTACTTCATACGGGATCCAGGAATTTGTGTCGTGACTCCTTTTGGCATTGAGGAGATCCGAGCAGAGACAGATAAAAATTTTATGCGTTTTTATTCCTGGGGGGCTTAGATTTTGTTTGCTTTTTCAAGAGGCAACTGGACCTTCTTCTTTTTTTCTTTTTTTTTTGAAGATGTTTCGCTTCTCATCCAAGAAGCTTCTTCAGCTCTTTTCTTCTTGTTTCCTCTCAGATGAGGCAGGGAGCTTTTTTGGTAAACACAGCACGAGGTGGTCTGGTGGATGAAAAGGCCTTAACCCAAGCTCTGAAGGAAGGAAGGATACGAGGGGCAGCACTGGATGTCCACGAATCAGAACCATTTAGGTAAGTATTAGAAGACCTCGTATTGTAGCTTGCCTGATCTGGGCAACACTTAAAGAGTTGGGGGCCAGGCCACAACTTTGGGACAACTCAGAAGGCCATTTATAAAATGCTTTCATCTCGTTAGACGCTTTAGGACTGAATTTTTGACTAAATGTTTTGCTTCTGGGATAAGACTGTACTTCAACGGAGAAGATTGGAACAGTTTATACTGGTGGCCACCTACCCATATACCCACATCAACATTTCTTTTGCAGGAAAAAAAGGATCCATCAAATTCTCAGAGTGCTGGGGAATGGAAACATACCCTCTGGGTTCCCTTACCTGTGGTTTAAAGCCAGAGTTTTTCAGCCTTTTAAGATATGTAGACTCCTCAACTCCCAGAATTCACTAACCAGCAAGCAAGCAGACTTGCTGGGGAATTCTGGGAGTTGAAGTCCGCATTTTAAAGTTGCTAAAATTGAGAAATCCTGCTGAAGTAAATCCTGTCCTGATAAGCTTGAAATGCCATATAGACAAAAAATTTTGCCCTTGGCAAGATGAGCAGCATGAACTTTCAGAAATAAAACTTCATAAAGATTTTAGAAACCTGCTGGAAAGTTTTAAAGATCAGCGGGTGCCTGTTGTTATTGAGCTGCAAAAACGGGGGGGGGGGGCATAATTGGCTTTGCTAATGGACTGAGTTAACTGTAGAAGTTGCATTTCCTGTACACCTAATAGCCTCTCCTGAATTCTTCAGGATTTTCTGTGAGGAATCCATTGTAGTCCCTTTAAGCAAAAACAAAGGGTGCTCCTTTAAGCAGAACATTGGCATTACGGCACAAGCCTGAATTTTAAATTGAAAAGTGACCCTCTCTACTAGAATTGCAGCTCTTTCCAAGCAGCAAAACAAGCAGTCACCAGTGGCAAAGGTCAGTGATTTGTGACTCCCCGTGGCTCCACGAACAAAAGTATCCCTTCTGCATGGAATCTGGCCATCTGCTTAGTTAGACTCTGTGAGCAATTGGATTCAGGTCCGGGAAAAATACAGTTATTGAAAGAACCGTATTATCCACATGGTATTATTTGCAATAAGATATATGCATAAGGTGACCAGATTTTAACACGGGGCGACTGACGATAGTTTGAGCGGGCGCGGCCGGCGCAAACTACCGTCAGTCGCCCCGCGCTCATCAAAACAAGTCTGGGGAGATCCTTTGCGGGCGGCCAGTTGTAGCTGCCTGCAAAGGACCTCCCCAGCTTCCGGAGCCTGTAACAGTAGAAATAACTGCGCGGCAGTTGCAAACTGCCGCGTGGTGTTTTCTTGCCATGTGCATGGCCGACCGGAAAATCGGGACTTTTTAAAAACGCCATGGGACGTGGGAAAAATTGGCCCAAAGCGTGACTGTCCCACCAAAATCATGACGTCTGGTCACCTTATATATGCAGTGCTACTTCAAGGAAGATCCGAGTGTTGCTATAAACCTATGAACTACGGACGACATTTCTAAATTGAAAATGTAAAAGGTATTATGGTTAATGGCTTCATCTGTTAATGTGGATAAATACATTAAATTGTAGACAGCTGGAGGAAACTCCCACCCCAATAAAATGCTTCGAGGTTATTCAGAGTTTGATGGTATTTCAGTAGCCTCACAATGTTGAGGCTCTGTTCCTGTCGTCCTGCTGAGAATAATCCCGAGAATCGTTTTCATATTGTAGGGCAAACAAACAGAAGCATTGTCTAAAACCATAATAGTATTAGCAATATAAAATCAATCCATCATCAAGCGTTCTACAAGTAACTTCAACACAGAATCCAGTCATAGGAGAAAACGTTGCAATAGATCTAAGAATCACTTAATTGAGTATTAGGCAAACACGGTTGCTGATCAACTAGCTATCCCTGGTGATGTCAGCTTTTCAAGTAGCAGACATTTCCATTGATAGATGGGCAGCCATATATATTTGTTGAATTAATTAATTAATCAATTGTATTAGGAAGGTGGGTTTCAATTCCACTGTCACCGCTACAACATTTAAAGATCTCTTCCTTCATAATTTCACCAAGCAGACAGCCTCACCAGCAGCCATGGTTGGCGAAAAAAACACTGGTTTTCTGTGTGAGACCATATATGAGTAATGACAAATAATTCAAAATATATTTGTCAGTGATTGGAATGGGCAAGGTGGTAGGCATGGATAGCATTGTAACCAAGACCCGCCACTATTCTACATGCAGTGACAAGTATGAACAGTGAGGCTGGGATGCATCTGTCTTGTCTATTTTGACTCCTCCCATCGACCCCCTTAACCTGTATCCAAGAACAAAATAGGGAAAGCAGAATGCAAATTTTCTGTAATGGCTCAGTGAGGAATTCTGGGAGTTGAACTCAAATTCTTATTAAAGTTGCCAAGACTGGAAAACTTTAGTCCAGATGAAGCCCTGCTTTATATTTTTCTTGTGAACTAATAAGGGTCAAATGGTTTTTGAATTTGAATTTTAATTTTAATAGATTTGTATGCCGCCCAATCCCGAAGGACTCCGGGCGGCTTACATAAAAACAGTTTAAAAAACAGAATACTAAAAAAGTTAAAAAANATATGCTGACTCTGTAAACCGCTTAGAGAGGGCTGAAAGCCCTATGAAGCGGTATATAAGTCTAGCTGCTATTGCTATCTTCCTCATCATAGCAGAACATATTGTATAATGGGAGAAATAGAATATGTCTGAATTCAAAATACTCCAAGAGCAAAGAATTCTCTTGCCCTACATGCAATCTTAGAAACTCTATTACTGCTAAACATTATGGAATTAACAGGCGAGGTAAATGACATTTTATACCGGTCAGCATCAATTGCTTTCATGCCAAGTGTCCCATAATAATCTTACAGATAATTAACAGCTACTTTGGAACCACTGTCTTTCATGCTGCTATCCGTATGAAAAGAAAATGTGTATTTCATATGAGCCATAAACTCAACTTATGGACCATCCTGAAGAAATGATTGCAATGACTAAAATACTTTGTGTATGTTAAAACTTTTATAATTACTATTCAATATTCTTCCAAAAGCCTATGTGCTATGTTGGAAAAGAGTTTATGTGCGAAAGGAGAAAATATAAAGTTGCCACCAGCTCACACGCTGCCATTTTCTTTCCATGGCAAAAGTTTTGGTCTGGAGCGAGGGTGACAACACGCGGTCCAGATGCATTACACACTGGCCACTCCCACCTCCGCAGGAGGGGGGGGTTGCAATATGCCACATCAAGATGTCTCATCATGAGTTTGACACTTCTGGTCTGGTGCAACATACAAAAGAAAAAAAAATGGTCCAGGCAGGAGTCAGTATAAATCAAAAATCACAAAACTAAATTTACAATCCAGTGTCCTAGGACTTCAGCCATGAAAGTATACAAATATTTGTGGCCATTAAGATATCTGATACTAAAATTAGCTTGTCAGTGAACGTTTAATGTGGTTTGAGAAGGCTTAAAGGAAACGGGGGACACACACAAACTATGGAAGCAGGAATCGAAAACAAATCATTGGTACAAAACTTATATTTTGTTCTGAATTGATGGAAAAGCACATTACCAGCTTGAACATATTCAAGGGATTCAACTTCATAAATGTGTCGATGATCTAACACTGCAAATATGTGCAACTTACCATAGATAGCAGAATAGAGCAACCAGAAGAAACATTGATGAATTACAGAGAACATTTTAGGAAGTCACACAAATGAAGGTGAAGTAACAAAACGTTTACACTGGCATTAGTGAATTTTTAGAAGCTGCTATATTCTTGGGACTTTGTTCTTAAGCCAAGAAGTAGCATTCCAAATTACGCATAATTAGCATTCATGAAAAATACTTGAATAAGCCAATCATATTTGTTGTGGGATGTTCTACCATGAGTAAATGTGCTGAATAGAGACATTAATTTTCTATTGCTTCCAGTTAATAATTTGAAGAGGAAAATCCCCACTTAAAATCAGATAGTTACTTTAAGAGGAGACTTTGTGTTGAGATTTTTATACCAGTTGCCATTGTAAAAGTTATCTTACTAGGCTAAATCTAAATTAAATGATAGAAGAGGCATGCCGCTAAAAGAATTTATAAAATACTGGTATAATTAAGAAAGCATAATCCACTACAATAGAACACGGCTTTGGAGGGGGAAATAATTACCTTACAAAATGGTGGAGATGGCAAATCATTTTGATGCTAACCATAGAAGTGGTGAGGGGTTTGTTTCAAGAGAACAGCAGGCTTTGAAATAAGACGTAGAACAAAATATCTGAATAGGATAAACAATTTAAGTAATAAAGGTTCAAAAAAAAAACCACAATTCAAAAAAAAATAGGACAGCAAAATATTCAGTTTAATTTGGAGCACTGTAAAGAGACTTTACAACTTTAAAAGAAAATCAAACTGAAGTCTGATCTCTAGTTTTAAAGCAGGGATATCATGTCAGAATATCTCCAAGTTTGTTTTAAAAAATGTAATCCTTCCCAAAAATTATACATCAGATGACAGGCCTGCATACTATTGCAATTAGTGTTTCAAGGCACAGCTATAATTAATAACTGCGCTGCTATACTGAAAGAGCAACTGGAATTACAATCTATAAAACCACTGACTTCCGCTGAGCCTCCTAAGGATGTACTGTGACTATATAATATGTATATTGCTTGCTATATAGCTGTATAACATGAAAATAAAATTTATATTGCTGATTTTTTAAAATCCCTACTAGCAGCCAAATGCATTTATTCAAGAAAATGGCTAAAGTCTTGGTTAAATATGGCTAAACGTTTTCTTCTATTAATAGGGCAAAGGAAAATAAAATAAGATTTATATTCAAGAAGGCCGTATCTCATTGCAGGAAATTGCGGTTAGAATTGAGAAGTAACTCAGATTTGGAGCACAACTTGCAACATTTCAATTTTCTTCATTCTACTCAAGCATAATCACCTAATTTATTCTATTAGTTCAGGAACACAGGAAAGAATGTAGAGCAAGCAGAGGACTAAGGTATTAAACTATATCCTTTTTAACTCGCTTGGAAAACTTAAAAATAGGAGTATATCAAAGCACAACCTGTTGTAGGAAAAAAAAATCCAATGATTCTACTGCTCTGTAAATTTATCACAGGTCAATGTGATTCTCTTTGTGTAAAACATTAAGCTTCTATAAGAGTGAAAAATGTATTGATATGTTTCAACACAGTACCTTGATAAAATGTCATTGTTTATTTGTCAGTAGAATTATTTTGAGAAATTTTTGTTTAACTTTCAATTGCTTAAAATGTACCATTTTAAAAAGCAATTAATTCAGAATGGCTCCTATGTGTTTACATCAGTTTAAAAAAAGGTACAGTTTCTGTTCAGATTCTTAAATCAGGGATTCTATCTTATAACAGGTTCCATGTCATCATTTTCACCATCATTGGTCTTTAAAAAGTGCATATCAGGATCTACATTTTGCATACAAAACTATTCAACCTTTAGTGTTCTTACAGTGAGTTTTTGGGTGGGGCTGGATCCATTCAATACAGCATAGCTAAGGTAATCAAGTATAATAAAAAGATTTTTTTTTTTAACTGGAGAATATATTCTGAACTGACAGTTCCAGGAAGCTTACAAGTTCAGATGTGGCCACAATCAGTCAACATGCACAGGATTCTGAAGGTTACATTTTAAGGAAAAATAGTACACAGGACTTCCCAACAAACTTTAGAATGAAGGCTTTTAAGGAAAACAGTCAAAGTGCTTTCTCACTCAATTTTAATGACCAAGGAATGCTCCTCAGTGGAAGCAATTTTAACTTGCATGGGGAAAGGCGATAAAATATTAATTTCTATAGTACAACTCACAGCAAGACCGGGTTTGGACAAAATGCAGTTCGGTTTTACAAACTCCACACAATTGTTTAGCATAAAGTTCCCTGGAACAGCTTTTTTTTTTTTAAACTATTTTAAGTAGCCTGAAAAGGGGGGGGTGGGATTATTCCAAAGTTGTGATACAAAGTAGTAATGGATACTAGAGAAGTCTTTACAGAAAATAGTTCACTTAAGTCGATTTATCATCCCTTCCATATGTTTTCCCTTTAAAATTTCATTTTATTATACTGTAATGGGCACAATATTAAATTTAACAGAACAATACATTTTTTTAGCACGTATGAGTTACTCTGGTTATATGGCATCAACAAAAAAAAAAAAGAAGAAAGAAAAAAAGAAAGCCACATGATCTGATGATCTGATCTGGGCCTTAGCAAGATTTCATATAAAATGTTATTTCAAGGAAATATGTCAGAATGCTTAAAAAGATGCAAAATAATCAAATTTTACTGTAAGTCTCAAAAGGAACAGATATTAATCAACAATGTGCTTTTAAGTGCCCTTGTTCAAAAGAATTTCCTTCAATAATTGTAAGATGCTGGTTACACTTTTTTTCCTATTACTCAACCTTCTTACACAACCATATGTGGTATAATTAAGGGCAGATGTACAACCGGAAAAATGCTTTCTGTCTTGGTAATAAAATTTAGGGCTTTGCTTTCTTTTTCTTGTTTACAAATGAGTCCAACCAACATACTTCCTTCTTGCATCAGATGAGTCTCTGAATTCTTCCCATGCCCACTCAAAATCCTACGCAGGATGTTCCCTGCTACAATTGGGGCACCATGCAACAATTTGCTAGACTGCTCCAAGAGCTGGGGTTGTCACCGTACACTTATATGCAGCTGGTATCTTTCATTTTTCATTCATTCATCGTCATCGTCTTCATCTTCCTCTCCATCTGAAAGGGATGTACAGGGGCGGATTTGTCTATAGCGGTCCAGCCATTTCTCTACCATCTGCGTTACCAGGGGATGGTTACGCCGGCGAGAGCTTTTCTGCATAGCAACCAGGACTCCCCCTTCTGTCACACAACAGTCCAGCCATTCCCTAAGCAACTTCTCTTGCTGTTCCTCATTACCAATCTTCGGAGAAAAAAATAGAGACAACATAGTCAGTTTAGTTTAGAATACTGCCAATGAAAAGAGACAAGTGTATAACATTTGCTGTGGCCGATTCAAAAATCTACTAGCCAATTCCTAACTAGACTTAATTAACTTCTAGTAGCCACATACATAGATTTCTTCCATGATGATCTATTGCCTAATGTCTACTTTTAAAAAAAAAATATGTAAGGTAAGATTGAAGAAATCTAACAGTTCTGTTTCACAGACCGAGTTATGAAAACATTTATATGCCGCCCAATCCCGTAAGACTCCGGGCGGCTAACAATACAAATAAATCAAAAAGGAGAGAAGGAAAGAAAA